CATGACTTCAATACTTGTGCAGCAGACATCACTTCAATACTCACTGTGCTGCTTACTTCAATACTTGTGCAGCAGACATCACTTCAATACTTACTGTGCTGCTTACTTCAANAACATTTTCGACCATCACCATTTCCAACTATCACCATTTTCAGCCATCACCATTTCCAACAATTACTATTTTCAACCATTACCATTTACAACCATCACTATTTCCAACTACCATTTTCTACCATCACCATTTCCAATAATTTCCGGCCATTACCATTTCCAACCAATACCATCTATTTCCAACCATTTAGTGGCCACCGATAACCGTTCATAATGCATGGTTTACCAAGACCTGTCTCTTATACACATCTAGATGTGTATAAGAGACAGATATTATATTATGTTATATTATATTATATTATATTATGTTATATCATAATACTTATATTTATATGAGAACATCATTACCATTTTTCAATATATTCAAAATATATATTTTGAATGCAAATAAATTCTCGCTTATAGGCGCGAATTCTTACTTATGAGTCCCCAAAACAAAACTTGTTTGGCAAGCTGTCTGTATATGCAAACAACGAACCATCGAAGTATCCATATTAATGCTATTCAAACGCAAAAAGCTTGGATTCTTGAAATTAATTGTTTAATAATGTCTAATTGTTTAATAATGTCTAAAATTGTGAATATTATTTTCTAATATGTATGACAATTGAAATTATCATATTTTCAAAGCTTTCAAATTTAATTGGCTTATTTACATAGAAACTTAAACAAATATACTTTTAAATTAATTGAAATATCAACAAAAATGACATTGTCCATCGACAGCAAAGAGTACATAAGAGATAGTATAGTATGTTGTAAGATGCTCCTACTTTTACATATATTAAATTATATTGTTAAGGATTAATCTCACCCATAAAGCACAATTTGACCCAGCTGAATATCCATAAGAATGTCAATAAGTTGCTCCCACCGTCACCGTAGAGCGGCTGAGTTGTGGGGGTAACTGGGGAGCGTTGGTTGCAGCAAGAATGATTGTAAGATGCCCCTACATCTACTTATATTAAATTATATTGTTAAGGATTAATCTCACCCATAAAGCACAATTTTACCCAGCTGAATATCCATAGGAATGTCAATAAGTTGCTTCCACCGACAACGTAGAGCGGCTGGTTGTGGGGGTAACTATATAGGGAGCGTTGGTTGCAGCTAGAATGATTTAAAGGCAGCCGCTTGCCGGTTGTTCCCTGAGGTAACATTAGTACGTGTCAAGTTCCCGCTCAGGAGCCACCCAAGCTTGCACTTATCATGAGTCTCCGGAAATCTGCTCGATGCTCCGTAGTTCGATCGTTCGATGTCGTGAACGTCAGCCGACGGTTATTTCTGAATTAGGTCATTCAGTAACCAAATTTCTCGGTTGAGGATAAAATTTCTGAAACAGATACTGGTATGAGAGCAAAACTTATCTAACCTATTGCTATTATTCTATTTATATATTGTATTGTTTGACAACATTAATTCAAGAGAATCATTCAGTGTTTTAGTTAGTTATTTTATGTTTTATTCTACGGATATGAGCAATCTATTTTGATACCCTATTTTGTTCCTGAGCGCGAAAAAAGCGGTATAAAATATTGTCTGATGGATTTTGAAGCATTGCTGCATCAAATAATTAACTTGTCTACATGGCCCAAGGCTAACATTTTTGTGTTTTTAACATTCCAACAAAATTAAACTAAACTCCAAAACAAAAACAAAATTAAACTTTAACATTCCGACAAAATTAAACTAAAACTGAAACTGCCCAAATTTGTTAGATGGTATGAATGTGAAAAGTGAAATGTGAAATAATTTGAGAATGCAAGCATCAAAAATCATTGGGAGAGTTTAATTCTTTGTTTCAATTACTGATACAATGCCTTGCTGCAAGACAATCAATAAATTTCAAGTCTGATCTTCACCTACCGATCGCGTGCATGCTCACAGTCAATTTCTGCCTGCACGACTTTAAACAATAGCACTGAAAACTTCGAATTTAGGCCAAGCCAAAGCTCATTAAGCAGCGCTTGTCGACAACTCAATTAATTTCTCTCCTAACCGAGAGACAAACGTTGCGCGAATAGACCAAGCATAACGAGAGTACGTCGATTGTACGTATACCATGACGATAACTTCATTATAAATCTGACTGATTTATCGTCGAAAAAGCGGAACTTGAACTTGTGCAACAATTATATCACCATTGTAGTAAGTTTGTTGTAGGTCTAAGATATAAAGGCTAAAAATAGTTATATAAAATAAGTTATATAACTATCTATAAAAATAATATAATAAGTTAGGTTACATAAAATAGATAGGTTGGCCATAAAAAAGAGCAACTAATAAAATATTGAGTTAAGCTTACTTTCAGGAACTACGAAAGATTATAAATGGTTTTCTTATTGAATTCCCGCTTTTTCAAAAGTGGACCGAATTTATGAAATCTGTCTCATGCGAAGAAATTTGCTTAAAAATTAAATGAAAATAATATTTATGTATTTAGATGTAAATTGTTTCATAACAATCACCAAATGGATACCCACCTAATTACTCACGTAATTCACGAGTATGTAGATGCAATGTATTTTCTGAAGCTAATTGCCAATACTGGATTGTAAATGAGTTAAAAAACACTCCATGTTTTATTACTCATGACAGAGTTATAATTATTTCCACACCCATCAATAGGCTGAAATAAAATAAATCAACAGCATGAGAGGAGAAACCAGAGTGGCCAGAGTGGGCTGCCTAGCCTGCTAATTTATGGCAATGGCTGCGGCTAAAAAAGAGCCTTGGAATCTATAATTCAACCACTTCATGGCCTTCAACAAATCCAAACATATTCTCTGGCCTCGGTGAAAACCATTGGCTTATCAAACATTTCCAACCTTTGCTATTTTCAGCCATCACCATTTAAAATCATTGCCATATTTAAGTATCACCATTTTCGACCATCAACATTTTCGACCATCACCATTTCCAACTATCACCATTTTCAGCCATCACCATTTCCAACAATTACTATTTTCAACCATTACCATTTACAACCATCACTATTTCCAACTACCATTTTCTACCATCACCATTTCCAATAATTTCCAGTCATTACCATTTCCAAACATTGTCATCTATTTCCAACCATTTAGTGGCCACCGATAACCGTTCATAATGCATGGTTTACCAAGACAGGACCTATGTGGACTTGTGTTTCAGCGAGTGCAATAAATAAACCTAATTATAGCTGGTGTCGAAGCTAGCCACATATATCATTGTAAACACCACTGTTTTTGCTTTTAATGGCTTTAAATCTGTGTCGCTTAATTAATATTACACACTCGCTCTCACTGCTAATTTGTTCTGCTGATGCCATGGATAAAACACAAGACCGAAAAGTAAACGACAAAGAAAACAAGGCTATTTTCCCAAACTTGTTGTGTCCTTAGAGATATTCGAGTTTTGATTCTAATGTGACGAATATTGTGTCGAGTTTCTTTCTAATCATTGCCATAGATGTTTGACTTGCAACAAAGAAACATATATTTTTTCTTTCCTGTTAACTGAACTACTGTAGTAATACCGATTTGAAAAAGTTGGCCTATCAACATTCACATTTATTTCATTTTCACGCTTTTTAACTTCGTTATGTCTCTGCTCAATAAAACTAATACAATTTGCAATTATTGTTTCAGAATAACTACTCACCGATGCTGCAGCACATGTAAATGTTATTGGATCTATATATACATGTATAGGTACATAGCTAAATTTGAATGTGTAAATAGGTTTTAAGGCTGCCATAAATGCATTTTTTACATATTCACTCCGTATTCACTCATGTAGCGTCGACTAGTGAATGGGTCTCATGATTTATTATTTCAAACTAAAAAAATTGCCCTATATCATTCATAGCTAGCTCATAATGCTGAACTGGTGGTCGTTATTTATTGTCATCACAATTTATTTACTTCATGTGTTTTACTCAAGAAAAAAAAATTGATGAAACGAAATGGAAAACAATGCGTTAATTTATGGACTAAGAATTTAAAGTGGACAATAAATTTTTCTTATGACCGACTTTATTTTCTCTTTCATTAGTATACAAGTATTTATGAAAATTGCTTATACTAAATTGTAATTTAACCAAGAATTTAATGACGAAAGAAATTCCAAGTGAGTTCACTGTAATTTACTGAAAAAAAAAAAAAATATTTCAATGAAATTATGGTGAAATTTACTATAGACATTTTCTTTTCCTTTAAATCATTGAAATTACGTCTAATCGCTTGCACCCCCATCTATGGTTAACATTTATATAAGATATTTAAATAGATCCATAAGCCTCATGTTAAATCCAACCCCTGCAAGATATCGCAGCAAACTGCTATTGTTCGAATCCCAGGTGCAACTTGTACCAATTTATTACTCAGCCTCGAAATTGTAGATCATGGCTAAGATTAACGGCTACAGTGTTTCTCTAAGATCAGCTTTCATGTATCGGCGAGCAGATTGTGGCAAGAGCAACGCTCCGTTTAACATGTTTTTGTAATTTGTTTATATAAATAATCGCTAACTGAGCAAAAACGTTGAACGGCAACATTTGAATTTTTTATTAACATATGAAAATGTTTGTTTTTATTGATTCCAATGAAGATTTTCCTTCGATTTTCTTTGCATCATGGGATTTAATTCTAAAATTTTGACGAATTCATGCATATTTGATGTTTTTAGATGTGAATAATTTAGTCATATCTAAAATTAAAAAAAATATGTTGCGGCCATCTACGGACTTGTGCGACATAGTAACATATTGCATTACTATCATCGAGTTTTTCACACCTAAAATTTTTAACATTTTCTGTTCAACGATTCTGTGGACGATTCTCAGTTCTAAATTAGACATTTGAACCTCATGTTTGCATAGCACATGAACTTAATGAATTTTCTTTCAGGTACAGTGAATTCGAACGGGGAGACGAAGCGTCAACGAACTTCGTACACTCGCTACCAGACTCTGGAGCTGGAGAAGGAGTTTCACTTCAACCGATACCTTACGAGGAGGCGAAGGATAGAAATCGCACACGCTCTCTGCCTCACAGAACGACAAATCAAAATCTGGTTCCAAAATAGGAGGATGAAGTGGAAGAAAGAACACAAAATGGCTAGTATGAATGCCGGTATGGGCATGCATCCTCAGGCATATCATCAAATGCATCATCATATGATGCAACAACATCACTTCCACCCTCACCTCGCCGAATTGGATACCAAAGCCTACTACTAGGTGAGTTTTGGTTTTGATTGATGAAAACATATTTTACATAAGCAAATTTTTTTAGAAAATTCGCAGTCAATAAAAATATGTAAAATAGACAACAAAAAATAATGCATATTGATGAATTTTGCTGATGGACTTGAAATATTCAATGAAAGTGACAACTGATACGAAAGTTTTACTTAGTATTTTTTCAGTTAGTATATAATAACTCGCAGGGTTAAATGAATACAAAGGCTTCTTACTAATTAATTTAATTCTAATAGTATCTCATATTTGAAAATCGAAATCTCAACGGAGTGGGCTTGAATGTTAACATTCACAGTTACAGAAAAAATGTTACAGATTCAATGTACGTGGCAATTTTAATTGTTATTCATCACAGGAATGATAATTATTCAAATATATTGAAATAAATGCCCACGGATGTAATAGATCTGAGTGATATGAGAGAGGGAATTTTTATTTGCTTATCAGGAATTTTTGCACAGTTGTATCTAATGCTATGTGAAATCGGTAAAATTAATATGCAAACACAATGCATACGATGAGGATTCACACAACAATATTAGCGAACATAATCTTGGTCTTTCATTGAAGCTATTTCTGAAGTAATTTGATAGTGCATAATTTAAAAATTGTCTTAGAAATTTTTCATCGCCAATCATTTTTCGTGAGAACATTCTCTTTGAATCATTGATATGTACTGAAACATCAAGTGTATTAGATTTTGTAAAGTAAAAAACTCCTCTCACACCTATTCCTGCAGAAACATTTGCGTTTCTCACGCAGGTATAGGCATAATTAAGAATTAAAATTGTTCCTAATGTTCAGTTGGGTGTCATTCGAATTCCATGCGCGGTGAAAACAAATTATGCGAATGTATTCTTTCTGAAGAATTTAACTAAGACAATTTTTTAATCGTTTAAAACATAGAACATGCTAATTTCATTTGCTTGCTCCCTTGAAGACATCTATACTCCCCACAATAAATGTGCAACTGGATGTTTGAGACATTTTGTTTGAGGGATAATGAAAAAATTTGTCGCTCCCAATAGTTAACATACTTTTTATGGTTATCAGACTGATGTTTTTGATGGTTATCAGGCTGAATAGATTCAACTTTACTTCGTCGTATTAATTTTTTGTCTGTACTTGAGTATAATTGATTGCTTTACTGTACACGTTAGCAACGCAAAAAAAAATCTTGTTGCTCTTTGGTCATTGCTTTTTGGGTGCCTCGCAAGAACGCATTTCAGTAATTTCAATTAGTTCTATAACATTTCGCCATTTTATTTCAACATCATCCGTTGATATTATAACATTACCTCTCAATCTTGCAACATTTCCCTTCATCACAATAATATTCCCTTTTAATCTGCCAACATTTCTCCGTAAAAGTAGACATTTCAACTTAATATTCCAACATTACATCTTGGACTTCCAACATTCCTTCTTTTCTCACAACATATCTTCTTGATCTTGTAAAATTTCCCCTCAAACATGCAACAGTTTCCCTTAACTCTCCGACCTCCAATGTTTGTTTTCATAACACAATGAGGCTTATACATTTGTGACGTAAGCAGATTAGTTTGTCACTTTAAGTTAGTTGGTTCTAGAAGAAAAGTCACTATTACAACATTTATTCGATTGATCTATAATTTATTCTAGGACTAGCGCACACAAAGTATAACATGACAATGTTGGTTGGAACGGGTTCATGATTAGAACGTTGGTCGGAACGGGTTCATTGCTCGAACTGGCTCTATTGGAGTTTTAAATATGTGACGTAAGTTAGTTAGCTCTTATTCGAATAATTTTAAGTATACCATAAAAATATCAGTATAGCTCATGATGAGACGGGCGAAATCGGTGCGGGAAAGAGACTTGCGTCGGGCAGGAGGGACGGACGGGTCTGGTGCGGACGGTTGTCTGAACTGACGTTGACAGATGCGGACAGGACGCAAGCTCCGTCCTCCCTTCCACCTCCTCTAGTTACCGTTCTTCTCACTTCCTTTCCTATATTAGCTAAATTTTGAACATTCAAGCAATTAGCATGAGACTACTAGCTACTTTTCAACCCGTTGAATCCATAATGCAAGCTAAGTTCAATTTTTTCAATCCATACTTTTCACAATCGTCAAATGTAGAGCAGTTAACATTGGTTAACTCGCTGCAACTAACCAATCGAAATAAATTCCTTAAACTGACAGCCATAAATTTACATATATTAGCAATTCATCTGCATTAGTTGATGAAATAATCCCTATTTTCAATTTTTAACGACTTATCAGGTGCAGGAATTTAGGTTGTCAGGTTTGAACACGGACCAATATCTGCCATACTTAGCGAGAAACCCGCTATGGGCCCGTGACCCGCAGTGGGCTCGCTGCCCCATGTTACCCTACTTTATATGAAAGCTAGCACTCAGTGCTATTCATTTCTATTAATGGAATATATATCATAGATCGAAAACTTACTCCGGTACAAGAATACCCAAATAACAAAAATTGAAACGTGGAAGCATCATTGGAAAATGTCCGCCTCGCTAACTTTCCAAAATTTTTAATTAAAATAGAATAATAATAATAATGTTCGATTTATTTCAAATTTTAATTTCGAATACAAAAAACAGCTGCAAATTGGAAGAGCATTTTATCCTCATTGTCTATATTTAACTAGCAGCCGTTCGAATGAAATACATAAGCCTTTTTTTAGGGCATTTTCTCTTTTATGGAAAAAAGGCGCTATTGTGCTCGCATATCCGTCTGTCTGTCTGTCCGTCTGTCTGTCCGTCCATGACTTCCCGTTTTCGTCGACGAGAAAATGCGCTCTTTGCCACTCACTGAAGTGAGTACCGAGTTATATTATTCTTTTATTTTTACTGCCACATTTCATAAGCGAATTATTTTTGTTCGTGTATTTTTATAGCGTAGTAAAATTAATACTACTTGGCAACTAAATATCCCACTAGAATTATGGTACTTGAAGTCTTCGTTCTTATATCCACATTAAGACCCCAAGCAATATTTTCGTAAAAAATCCAGTGCACCGGTATTTATGTTGACTTTTCAATTTCTAATCTATTGCTCAACATGAACAAATTGAGCACTTGAGTTTGAAACAGAATATTGAAACGCAGTTTATGTGGGTTCTTCATTGTGCTTACGGGCTTGACATCGAAGGCCATTCATTCACATGCACAACTCCAATCAAGTTGGCTGCATTAGCAGAGTTTTTCTTTATGGAATGTCAATCATTCACATACATAACTCCAATCAAGTTGGCGTCTTTAGCAGAGTTCTTCTTTATAGAAGATCAATCATTGACATGCTCAGCTCCAATCAAGTTGGCTGCAATAGCAGAGTTTTTCTTGATCGAAGGTCATTCATTCACATACACAACTCCAATCAAGTGGGCTGCTTTAGCAGACTTTTTTTAAGTGTATGGGCCAGTAATGTGGCTTATCTGGTTGTTGACGCGTGAACGATGTGTGAGCGGTCAAGGCTCGGTTGGGCCTCGATAACACAGCTTTTCTCTTTGAATCATTGATATGTACTGAAACATCAAGTGTATTAGATTTTGTAAAGTAAAAAACTCCTCTCACACCTATTCCTGCAGAAACATTTGCGTTTCTCACGCAGGTATAGGCATAATTAAGAATTAAAATTGTTCCTAATGTTCAGTTGGGTGTCATTCGAATTCCATGCGCGGTGAAAACAAATTATGCGAATGTATTCTTTCTGAAGAATTTAACTAAGACAATTTTTTAATCGTTTAAAACATAGAACATGCTAATTTCATTTGCTTGCTCCCTTGAAGACATCTATACTCCCCACAATAAATGTGCAACTGGATGTTTGAGACATTTTGTTTGAGGGATAATGAAAAAATTTGTCGCTCCCAATAGTTAACATACTTTTTATGGTTATCAGACTGATGTTTTTGATGGTTATCAGGCTGAATAGATTCAACTTTACTTCGTCGTATTAATTTTTTGTCTGTACTTGAGTATAATTGATTGCTTTACTGTACACGTTAGCAACGCAAAAAAAAATCTTGTTGCTCTTTGGTCATTGCTTTTTGGGTGCCTCGCAAGAACGCATTTCAGTAATTTCAATTAGTTCTATAACATTTCGCCATTTTATTTCAACATCATCCGTTGATATTATAACATTACCTCTCAATCTTGCAACATTTCCCTTCATCACAATAATATTCCCTTTTAATCTGCCAACATTTCTCCGTAAAAGTAGACATTTCAACTTAATATTCCAACATTACATCTTGGACTTCCAACATTCCTTCTTTTCTCACAACATATCTTCTTGATCTTGTAAAATTTCCCCTCAAACATGCAACAGTTTCCCTTAACTCTCCGACCTCCAATGTTTGTTTTCATAACACAATGAGGCTTATACATTTGTGACGTAAGCAGATTAGTTTGTCACTTTAAGTTAGTTGGTTCTAGAAGAAAAGTCACTATTACAACATTTATTCGATTGATCTATAATTTATTCTAGGACTAGCGCACACAAAGTATAACATGACAATGTTGGTTGGAACGGGTTCATGATTAGAACGTTGGTCGGAACGGGTTCATTGCTCGAACTGGCTCTATTGGAGTTTTAAATATGTGACGTAAGTTAGTTAGCTCTTATTCGAATAATTTTAAGTATACCATAAAAATATCAGTATAGCTCATGATGAGACGGGCGAAATCGGTGCGGGAAAGAGACTTGCGTCGGGCAGGAGGGACGGACGGGTCTGGCGCGGACGGTTGTCTGAACTGACGTTGACAGATGCGGACAGGACGCAAGCTCCGTCCTCCCTTCCACCTCCTCTAGTTACCGTTCTTCTCACTTCCTTTCCTATATTAGCTAAATTTTGAACATTCAAGCAATTAGCATGAGACTACTAGCTACTTTTCAACCCGTTGAATCCATAATGCAAGCTAAGTTCAATTTTTTCAATCCATACTTTTCACAATCGTCAAATGTAGAGCAGTT